TTATAATTCTTAAGAGAATAAAAAAGAGTTAGTCAATAAGCCATGCAGGAAAAAGAAAAATGGAGATAAAATTTTTAAGAAAGCAATTCGTTAAGCCCCAAACTGAGGAGCGCATATTGATTTGTCCCTGCCTCGTATTTCCCACATCCAAGTGATGCCAACTCTATCAGAATATCTGGATATTCTGAATATAAGTATGTTGCCAGAAGATCTCCAATCTGATCTCCCATTTCCTCTCTCTCTCCATCTTCATTTCTGCTTCCCTGCACCAAACTGCAGGTATCTTTTAACTTGACTATTAGAAGAGCTTCCTAACCATTACCCCTGCTTCCAGCCCTACCTACTTTCCTCACCATATTCCACCAGCTGCCAGAGAGACCTTAACATTAAAAAATCAATCATGTCATTCCCCTTCTTCCAACTGGAGTTTTCAGGCCAAATTTTCACTTTCTCTTTACCATATTTGGTATAGGAGAGAGCTTCCAATTTTAGAAATACTCCTGAAAAACCAAAGGGAGAAGGAAACTAATATGTATGAGATGCTTGTGGAAAGCAAACTACATATATCATGCTATTTCCTCTTCATTTGCTCTTTGCTGTGGGCACAATTACTGCCCCCATTTTAAACATGGGAAGAGTCAAGGCCACAGAGGCAGCAATATACGCCCATGGGAATTGTCTGCTCCGTGTCCCCTTCTACTGGCAGTAACCTCCCCTTAGCTCCATCTACTTGCTTATGGAGGGAGCTGCCATCACCTGCAGTTGTGCTGCCTCCTGGCCATAAGCTGATGAGTTCAAGGGCAGACATCAGACCCAGTGTGGGCAGCAGAACACGCCCTGTCGGGCAAGCACCCCTTCCCCAGCTGCTAAGAGCAGCAGAGAGACCCAGGGACCTGGAGTAATGGAGGAACCTTTGATGGTCATCACTCTCAGCTGGAAAGATGTTGAACTGTGGTGGTCAAAATCCCCTGGATTTGGACCAGGGAACCAGGCTCCTCCTTCCCCTTTGACCCTGAGATCAAGTTTGTCACTTTCTCTGTACCTCAGTGCCCATGTTTGTGGAGTAATGGGGTGGGGACCAGTGGGGTACTTTGGACTGGAGGAGATGAGCTCCAAGGACCCAAACTCACTCTGTGCCCTTGGGAACTGTTTCCCTGGCCTCAGTGTCCTCAACTGGAATGAGAGCTGGGGATGGCCATGGAGAGGTGGGGAATGGAGAAAACGACCTCTAGAAGGGCTTTCCAGCTCAAAAAAAATCACATGGTCATCATGTCAGAGGTAAGAGGCTGTGTCCTTCTCCACAGGGGGAAAAAAAGAATCTTTCCCCTAACTTTCTGGCTGTGCCCCTTCTGGCCTCTTTCATGAGAGGATGGTAGACCTTTCAATCCAGGACTCCTGTCTTGGAAGGAGCCCACCTTCCCCAGAACAAATGAACCCAGAGACAAAAACCACCTGTGATGTGGTGGAGACCCTGCCAGAGGCCACTGAGCAGCCTGCCTCTTGACAAGGCCCAAGCCCCCACCCCCAGCCCTCTCCCCCCAGATCTGAATAAATGTTACATTTCCCATCATGCACTTGGGCCTGCTGCTTGGAGGTTACTAGTGGCTCTCTGGAGCTCTTTATACAACTCCACTTGGGCTCCCAGCCACCAAATTCTTCCTGCTCATGCATTACTCAGATTAGCTAAGGATGTTGGCATTTAAAGCCAAACCCCAGCATTTATCTCAGAAGGCGGCCTCATGACTGCCATGGCTGTCATTTCAATGCAACCCTCCTCTTCAGGAATTGTTCTTTGTCACATGACATATTATATAGACTCTCATATCTATAGTTCTGCATATTTTTACAGTTCGTTGGCTAGGAGTACATTCCACTGCTGACCTCTTGCTTCTCAAGCGGTCCAGGAGACCAGGCGGCAGACTTTGTTCCCTGGCTCCTCTCAGATGGCCCCACCTTGCCCCTCAGCCGACACAGAGCACATCTAGTGCCCTCCACTGCCCGGGACACGGTGAGACATTTGAAATTCTCACTTACACTCCTCATACTTCTGTGGTTACCATTTTACAGAAGAGACAACTAAGTCTCAGAGAGGAATCTTTGCCAGCTATAGTGAAAACACAAAATATTAATTATTTTCACTAAGCAGCCAAATTTCTAAACTTCATATCTAGGGCTCTTTCTACTGTACCATAAATCATTTATTGTTAAATAAATGGACACCGACTTTGAGAAATGCATGCCCTACCCAGGATGGTCTATACCCAATAGTAGGTCAAGGCTCAGCAGCAATAACAAAGAGATCTGATAAAACCATGGCGTAGGGAGCAAGGGAGTTCATTTTTCCCTCACATAACAGTCCATGGTGCCTGGCAGCTCTGCTGCACAGTCTGTCAAGCTCCAGATTCCTTCCAACTTGCTGCTCTGTCATCTCCGAGCCCATTTTCGATCTGCCCGATGGAAGCTGGTTTTGCCTCCACATCTGAGTTGCAGTGGTGGGAAGGGAAAAGAGGAGCCATGTCCCTGCGCTTAAGGCCTGAGCCCCCAGATGTCACATTCTACTGGAGAGAATTTGGCCACATGGCCACCCTTAACTGCAAGGGGAGCTGGGAGATAAAATCCAGCTATGCACGCAGGAAGGAAGGGAGACGGATTTGGCTGGGTAACTAGCAGAATCTCCCCGAATGTCAAAACTTTGAGAATCCCTAACTATTCTTCATACTTTCCTTGACAATAACTCTCTTTCTCTTCCTTTCTAGCCTCTCCTTGTACCTGAAAATCAACCATTTAAGAGCCACCTTTGGGTTTTGAAGGCCCTTTGGTCTAGCAATCATTACCTCTATATTTTTTCATTCTTTCATACCATTCATCCTCTATACTGAGCACCTAAATAGCATCATCTTTAATTCTCAAAATGCCCCGTTAAGAAAGTACCATTCTCCTCCTTTTATAAATGAGGAAATTGAGACTCTGGCAAGTTGAAGGTACTCACGCAAAGCAGATGCAGAATTTAAATCCAGCTTTGTCTGAGTCCAAAGCCCAAACTTTCGCTGCCATACCATAAACATCCTAGACGGACATATTTTCTTTGTGACTGTAGCTTTTCTTCTTATTCAAAATACCTTCTGAAAATTGTGGCTGGTCCAAAAGCAAGGTCTGAGGGACCACAGAAGACAGGCAGGTGAGGGTTTGAGGCCTCTTCCTAGACCTCTAACATCGCAGCGGGAATAGTGTGGCTGAGGCAAGCAGCCTATTGGAAGCATTTTATTTTTTTCAGGACTATGCTGCAGTTGTTATCCAGAAACTCTCCAGGACTGTGACCGAAACTTGTCACATTAAAATCTTAACAAAGCCAAAGCATCTGTTTTGGTTCCAGACATTGTTTTACAGAAAAAGCTAATCAAATAAAACAAGAATCCCCACTTTTCTCAAAGTCTTTGGAAAAGCCCAGTTCTCTTGCAACCTGTGGACCAACATGGCTTTCAGTCCTTGTCCACTGTGGTTTTGGGCAATCTTGTAATTAACTTCTGGGTCATTGATGGTGGGGAGGAAGGGCTATGTGTTTAAGCCTTCATGTGACAGACTTATCCTCTGCCTACATCAGTCAGCCCAGGAGGGTCCCCATTTCCAGACTAGAGGGACCCAAAGGGTTTTCTAGAATGACGCCCATGGAGGGCTACCCTTTTTTCTCACTGTATACATCCCACCCTGGGGCTTATTACCTCCCATATTACTACGGTACCTCTAGGATGCACAGAAGGCCTCAACATTTTTCTTTCAACTCAACTGACATCTTTTTCTGGAAAATATTTATCTGCTGCCCCTGGTATTCCCTCTTGCATTATCTAAAGCAAATCTGATTCCTTTCCCATGTCACAGCTCTTTTCATATCTGAAGATATAGTCTGTCTCCCAGAGGCTTCTCTTCCTAAGAGTGAATATCCAGGTCCTTCAACCTTTTCCTAGACAGCAGCTCTGAATTTCCTAACCCCACAAGCAGCTTCTCGCTACCCACTTTCCATTTTTCCATTTTCCTTATATTGGTCAAGAATATTTTGGTAGCAGGCAATAAAAATCCAATTCAAAACAAAGTAAGACTAATCAACAAGTGAGGGGTAAAACCTGAGAATTTATTGGCTCACGAAGCTGAAAATTCCAAGAAGTGGATCTTTGCCTTCAGGCATGGCAGGGTTCAGGAGCTCAAACAATATCAGGATTCAGTTTCCTTCTGTCCAACTCTTAACTCTGCTTATCTATGTTGTCTTCATTCTCGCACATAAGCTCTCAATGCAGTGGGTCATCGTAATTCCAGGCTAACATTCTCTCTGTTCTGCAGTCTCACTGGAATGGCTGCATTTCTTTCCCCAGGGTTGCAATAAAAGTCCTAAGTCTGGTCTTATTGGCAGGCCTGGTTTGCTTGTGTTTGCTGGAAACCGGAGGATGAGATGACTCCCTCAGAACTGCGTACTGAGAGGAGGGAAGGATTCTCCCCAAAGGAAATCCCATTGCTATTATCAGAAAAGGGGGAGTAAATGTTGGGCAGAAACAAACACGAAAACAGATTTCCACTGCATCACTCTTACCTTCCCTGCTGTATTGGTTTCACTGTTGTACCTTTCTGTCTCCCAGAATGCTCAGCACAGTAGGAGCTAGAAATGCTTGTTGAATGGACAAGTCATGCTCAGAGAAAGCCCGCTCTATGCAGAAAAAGGAAATTGCCCCAATGGGAGGCAAGCTACCCAACATTTATTGAAGTTTATTTTGTGCCCATTCATTGCTTTAGATGAACAAATTAAACAAAGTTCTTGCCCCCAAGGACTTTATCTTCTAGGGTAATGGATGGGAGGGGAGACAATAATGATAATAAGCAAATGAACAAATTGGTATATTAAATAGCAGGTGATACGAAATTCTGACATATGCTACATCAATGATGAACCTTGAAGATATTATGCTGAATGAAAGAAGACAGACACAAAAAGACAAATATTATGTGATTCCATTTATATGAGTAGTCAGATTCATAGAGACAGAAAGTAGAATAGTGATTGCCAGGGGCTGGGGGAGGGGTGAACGGAGAGTTTAATGGGTGTAGAGCTTCAACTGGGGAAGATGAAAACATTCTGGGAATGGATGGTGGTGATCATTACACAACAACGTGAAGGTACTTAATGCACCAAATTATACACTTAAAAATGGTAAATTTCATGTTATGTACATTTTACCACCAAAAAAAAAAAGTCAGGTTATAATAAATGCTGTGAAGAAACAAAAACAGGGAAAAGAGAATAGGAAATGCTGTAGGGAAGAGGGAAAATGTTATTTTAGACAGAGTCAGGAAAGGTCTTCCCAGTTGGCTTGCTTTGAAGCAGAGCCCTGAACGAGGCAACCGGGTGGCCCACGGACTATGGGGCTGTGGGAAGGGTACCCAGGCAGGCCACAGTAAATGCAATGGCCCTGAGGCAGCAGTGATGGGCTTGATAAGAGCAGTGAGGACGCCAGTGTGACTGAGACCCTGAGAACAGGGACAGCAGCAGGCGCTGAGATCCCGGGACAGCTGGGGCCAGATCTCACAGGGCCATGAAGGTCACAGCAAGAGCTTTGGGTTTTACTTTAAGGAGTTGGGAAGCCATGAAGAGTCTTGAGTAGCCTGTAAAAAATATCAAACACATGTAAAAGTAGGAAAAGTAAGATGATGTATATATATCCTATGGATTTCACAATTATTAACATTTTGCCATGTTTGCTTCATCTGCTTTGGTTTTTAGTTTTTTGCTAAGTTTTTGAAAACAAAATTTCAAGCCTTCATGACATTTTGTAATAATTAAATATGCATCACTAGACAATAAACCCTACATAACCATGATACCACGCTCATTCCTAACAAAATTAATGATTATTTCATACCTATATGTAATTTTTCCACAATGTCTTTTTGCAGTGGGTTTGTTTATCTCAGGATCACACATTGTATTTTTCAGTACGTCTCCTAAATATCTGAATCCAGCACAGTCTCTCATCCTGTTTCCTGCTCCCTTTTCATCATATTGTTGACTATCAAAGAGGTTAGGACAGGATCCTGTGGAATGTCCACATTCTGGTATTTTGACTTACATATTTAAAGGAACCTGTAAGTCTGGGGAGAGGAAATCCTGGGGCAAAATACCTCTAAAACCGAAATCAGTTAAAGGGAGAAATAAAGTTTAAAACCCATTTATTGCTTACAAACTGCAGTCCGGGGCCATTCCTCTCTCCTGCTTCAGCAGAAGCCAAACAGCTCTCCCCTTAAGGTTCAGATAAGCCCTTGGTTGCCCAGGTAATTACACGCTGATATGGAAATAACTTCTCTCCACTCCTAAGAATGCCTATTGATAAGCAGATATCTAAAGTCATACTTCTCTCCACCCCTGAGTAGGCACTAAAGCCAGGTGAGATATTCTGGATATATTACAATTTTACCCACAGACCGTCTTACTTGTTGTGGACAAACAGATTGCAAAGGGACAAGGGTGCAAGCCTACCGACCATGTAGGGGGGCATCGCAGTAAGAAAAACTCAAAGTATACAAGAAGAAGAGTACAAGAATGGAAACAACAGGGGAACAGAGATGTCAACCAGTCAGGAGGATGAAAAGCTGACAGAGGGATCCAGTCTGTCTGTCTTATCAGCGTAGGAGAAGCTGCCCTCTTAAGAGACTGTACATTGGTGATACCACGAGAAGCAAGCCAGTTCACCCTGCTGAAAGGCTCAGTAACTGGGGCACCAGCTAATGCAGAAGGTGAATAGGAGGCTAAAAATAATATACTTGGTTGATAATGACACTTACGGGTTTCCTCCAAAAAATACTCTCCACAGAGTAGGTGACAGCTGTGATTACAGAACTTCCATAAAGAACTTCCAGAGATTTTCTCTTGAGCAAAAATAGACAAGGATTATGAGTAAGTTGAGGAAAGCCTCCAACATTAAAGACGATTGAAACAAACAGTAAATAGAACTTGGATGAAACAAGGACAATGCAGGGAGCACAAAAAAAATTGACAAATGAAAAGGTCCCACCCATAACGTAATATCCTCAGAAGAGTAAGAGAAGATACCGTGAATCTGTAAAAAGAACACAGTGCTGTAAGGAGCAACAGAGAATGAGATAGAGCTTTGAGAAATTAAAAGTATGGTAGCTAGAGTAAACATGATTTAAATAGAAGGGTTGTAAGATACAATCTAGGATATTATACTATATCCTCCAAAAGTAAATAAAAAAGATGAAGGCACAAAACAGGGAAAAAAATTAAGGGGTTAATCCAAGAGGTATAAAAATGAATTGGAATTTCAGAAAGAAAGAAAAGAGAAAACAGAGAGGAGGAAATTATGAAAGAGATATTTCAAAAAATTTCTAAGACCTGAAGGACATGAATGTCTAAACTGGAAGAGTCTGCAGAGAACCATGCACAAAATGTTAATAATCGCATTAGGTCTTGCCAAGGCATATCATGTTGAAATTTCAGAACCTTAGCAATAAAGTGAAGACCATGGAAACTTCTAGAGAAGAAAAAAGAGATTGTCTATTAAGACTTAAGAATCAAAAAAGTATCAGGCTTCTAGCAAGCTGTATGCTTCAAAAGATTAAGAAAAAGAAACGATTTCCAATCTAGAATTCTGCACCCTGCAAAATTATCATTCAAGAGTGATGGTAAGGATATTTGCATATATATCAACTTTCAAGATTTCACCTCCCAGGTTTCCTTTCGCAGGAGCTACTAAGGGATCTTCTCCAGCAAAATGAGGAAACAAGTCAGAGAAGAAGACATGGGATCTGGGAAAAAGGGGGTCAATACAGAAAGCAAATCAAGTGCATTTCTCCTCTCTTCCTAACAGAAAGACGGTCAGGATGAGAGCTGAGTCCAGGCCTAGGGAGCACCCCGTCCGCACTGGGGCAGGAGAGGACGGCTGTCGGGGAAGCTCCAGTACAACAAGGGCACTGGACATTTTTTAAAGGCACCCATACACTATCTGTTCAGCCATGTAGAAAACTGTCTGGGAGAAGCATTGGAGGCCAAAGAAACTATGTAAATAAAAAAATGATAGAAAAAAAAGGAATGAGGGAGTTACCAACTCCAGGTAAAAACAAAAGGTGTGTGAGAAGGGAATGTCACTTGGTATATAGTTTGACTCAGCAGACAACAATATTTACTCAGTCATAATAATACAAACATTAAATATTGATTTAACTTATAATCACACTATCAGGATGACTTATGAGGATAAACAACTGCAGAGAGGGGAGTTGTTTAAGCAAGGTGAATTCTTATCAACCATAATAGAAAAGTAATGGGTAATGCCTAAAATTACAAATTAAGAAAATTAAAGAATAGAAGTTTAAGCAATTAGAACAGGTAACAATAAACCACGTCTCATAGGCCAAGTCCATGTTTGTAAATGAATCTGGTTTTGTAAATGAAGTTGTATTAGCACATGTCCACACCCATTTGTTTGCCTGTTGACTGTGGCTACTTTCTGTCGGCTACAAAGAGAATTAGTAAAAAAAAGACTGAATGGCCCACATTTACTGTGTTGCCCTTTACAGGAAAAGTTTGTGTTTTACAGAAAAAGTAAACCTCTGATTTACAATAATGTAGATAAATACACAAAGAAGTAGCCAAAAGGGTTCAAAGTGGTCATTCTGGAATACTGTCTTATTGTTATAAGCTTCTGAATACTAGTTGACTTTTAAATTATGTGCATGACCACTTCTGATACAAATTTAAAAATGTTGTTTTTAAAGAGTCGCCCTGATGCGCTGGAGGGACAGAGAAGGAGACGATGGGCTGACATAAGGGTGCATGCCTGAGCCTTGCCCCACGTCTCCTGCTCTTTGCCAGGGGCTCACCGTCCCATCTAAACGGGGTGAGTGAGTCAGAGCTGCCTGGCCAGAGGAAACGAACACAGAATGGTAGATATCTGACTGGGGAGGAAACTTTGGCCCCAGGAGGGCCAGCCTCTGGCCTTAAGCCGTCTTATGATGCTGTCAATATCATCAACATCATTAATGAGTGCCGGTACATTAGCACAGTTTTGGTTTAAGTGGCTATGCATTCTTTTGTTAGACTATCTAGTTTTATAAAATTCGGGCTCTCCCTCTAATTAGCTATGAGCTGGACAAGTTGTTTAATTTCTCTGTGCCTTAGTTTTGTCATTGATAAATGGGGTTAATAATGTCTCCTTATAAGGTTGTGGTGAGATCGGTTCAACTAGGACATGTGGAAATGCTTAACACAGTGGCAGACACACCGAAGCCTAATGAATGTTAGCTTTTAGTATCCCCATTTTCACAGCTGACCCAAGTGAGGTCCAGAGAGGGAAGATGGCATATACAGTGTCAAACGGCAGTTTAGAGACAGAGGCAGAACTGGTCTGTCTCAGCACAGTTCTGTGTCCTTGCACCACTCCAAGTTAGTCACATATGTATCTCTGGAGAGATACACAAGAAATGAACAGCGGGGGTTACTTACGGTCGGGGAGAGACAGGGAGGATGCGCCACAGAGTGAAAGGGAGACTTTATTTCACTTTAAGACTTTCAAACCATGTGACTGTGTAATTAACACAAAACAAGGAAACAAATAGCTGGATGAACTAAATAAATGAGATTAGCGGTGCCTTTCTCATGGTAGAGATCAAATAAGATAACAGAAGTGAAAGTCTTTTCTACACAAACGTGGTATCCAGATGTAAAGGGTTATTACTACTACTAATCAGGGCGCTTTTTAGTAAAAGCAAACTTTGCTTTGGATTTGTGGAACAAACTGTAGGTAGGGGCACACATTTCAGGACATTTTTAGTCAGGGTCTTCTCTTTGAAGACAGAATAGGTTTCCATGGAGCACAGGTGAAGCCATCTTAGTGTGTGGTGGAAATTCCCACCTTGGCACCTTGCAAATGAAAGGCCCATCCCCCCCGACCGGGCTCCCCCAAACTTAACACTTTGCATCCAGGCCCCCAGTTGGACAACTCTTCTGGAAAACATCATTAAGGCTGCAAAAACTTGGGGGTTCTATTGGGGATGACAGTGAGGGCCACAGTTTGTTTTTCAAGGGAGGGAACTAAGTCCCAGAAATAGCTGCGCCTGAGCTGGCAGGCGGCTGGCAAAGAGCAGGAGGCCCCAGGGCAACGCTCCCAGGCCATGTTGACTTTGGACGGGCTGCCTGAGCATTGTAAACAATTGCAGAAATGATTTCCTACCCTGGCAAAAGTCTTGTTTGGACAAGGGGTACCCTACCCCCTCCACTTCTTTAAAAGGCAGTTTTATCATTTGTTTGCAAAAATGCTCAATCCCTCTTTTCTTTTCGTGTTCCTTCTGTGGCTCTGGTCTCCCCAGAGCCAAATGAAAAATCTTTGTGTTTCTTTAATGTTAACCAAACCCCCATTCCTCCTTTTTAAAACTGTTCCAGGTCTGTTGGACAAATACTCCTCAGCAACAGGACTTACAAGGGTCTGTTAAGGATTTTGTTAGGCTGGAGTGCCTACTGACTTAAAACATTTTTTTTTTCCTCCTTGTTTATTACATTTGAAACTCCTAGCACAATAAAATCTGCACACAAGGATTGGGAAAGCAATAAAAATGCAGCTCATCGTGTGTCGGCCTGGGCTAGCTGATGCTCCATGTAGACACTGCAGTAACAGACTTTGTCCCACCCGCCCTCCCTAGATGTCAGCCTAGGCAGTGAATCGGGCTGTCTATAAGGACAAAAGCACAGGGCAGAGCCGTGAGCTCTGTGGGGCTGCGGGCAAGGGTGGGGCTTCTGAGAGGCTGAGAGATGGGTGCACATTCTGAAAATCAGCCAGAATCCCAAGCAGTTCAGAAAGAAGGAATACGCTGTTCTTGGCCACCCAGGGACAAGCGCAGCCACAGACCAGATGAAGAGTATGATATGCTAACCTACATACTCCCTGTCACCCCGCTCCAAAATGGAGAACAAGAAAGAGGAAGAAAGAGACCAGGGAGGGGCAGGAGTGGGGGATGGAGAAGAGAGAGAGAGCCAGGGGACAGGGGACAGGGGGCAAGGGGCCCCATGGAGGGAAGAAGGGGTGGGAGGCTGGAAATAGAAGCTGGGTGATTGAGGAGAGCTGAGGAAGGGACACTGATCACTGATAAGGTGCAGGCAAGAGTTGAGGGAAGTCAAAAGGGATGGGGCTGCACCCCAGAGCTGGCAACCTGCACCCCAGGCTGCAGGGACCCTCTAGCAAAGGCCTCGCACAGAAGTAACATTCTTATTCTATCAACAGGAATCTCTCACTCTACGGAAGACACGATAAACAGCCAAAAGATGAATCCAAATTAAGAATTTACATAGGAGGAAATTGACGTATAAAAATGACTGATGGGAAGCATTCTATGTAAACATACAGTTGAGCATGTATACCTGTAATGATTATGTTAACTAGGAAAACACAATTGTTATAGCTATGGAGGAAAAAACCTACTAAATGCTTTGTCGTTAATTATTGATACTAGGTCATAGGAGGAAAAAAATCCCGAAATTGTCATTAAAACAGGAATGGGAGGGAATAGAAGGAAAAAGAGATTAATGTTTGTTTTTATTGTGGTGAAATCACATAACATAAAATTCAACATTTTAACCATTTTTAAATGCACAATTTCTTGGCATTAAATACATTCACATTGTTGTGCAGCCATCACCACCTTCGCCTCCAGAACCATTTCAGCTTCCCAGCTGAAACACTGTACCCATTAAACACTAACTCCTCATTGCGCCTACCCAGCTCCTGGCAACCACCATTCTGCTTTCTGTCTCTGTGCATCTGACTACATTAGAAATCCCGTAGCAGAGGAACTATACGTATGTGTCCTTTTGTGACTGGCTTCTTTCATTTAGAAATGTCTTCAAATGCATCCATGTCTCAGAATTTCCTTCATTTTTAGAGCTGAATATTGTTCTTTTGCATATCTGTCTCACATTTTCTTTGCCCATTCATTCATCTGTTGATTCGGGACATCTGGGTTCTCTATCTTTTGGCTATTTCTGAATAGCGCTGCTAACGGCATAGATGTACAAAGACCTGTTCTGATCCCTGCTTTTACTTACTTCTGTTGGTTATATACCCAGAAGTGGGCTCCCTGATCATACTGTAATTCTCTTTAAAATTTTTTAAATACCATTTTCCATAGCAGCTGCAAAGGAGATTGTTGAAAGCCCCAATGTTCATAATTTTCTTAGCAGAGAGTAAGTGACACTGTTTCTTTTCTGAAGATGACAGACTGAAAAATATTGATTAAACATGGTATTTAAAATCGCAAAGGTAAAACTCCAGTAGAACTGAAAACAGTCTTAATACCTTCCAAATTGCCAGAAAGCACCAAACAGGAACAACCACGCAGATGCATAAAAGCAGACCACAAAGCAGGACAGAAGCAGACCAAGCCTTTCTGTCACAGGGTGGATAAAATTAATACAAAGTCACTTTTTAAAAGAAAATGAAAGCCAGTTATATATTATCGAGAGATACCTAAAACAAATGTATTTCAGAAACCAGGAATATTACCAATGTTGCAGGTAAATACAGACAAAAAGGAGGTAAGAGTTCTGTCCATAGCAGCAAAACTCAAGTAAATAAACATTATACTAAATAATAGCATTGAAATATATAAAATAAAAATATAAAAGTTGTAAACATTAGCTTACAGAACACAATACTGAAATAAATGCGGAAATAAAACTGTAATAAGGTACTTTAATTCACCTCTCTCAGATCTTGACAAACCAGATAGACAAAAAGTAAGTTATGATTCTGAGATTTTTAATAATATATTTAAGAAGATTGATGATACATAACTAACTAACTGGCTAGCAGGTAACTAGATACATAGAGTGTATCTATGTGTACATCCTGAATACAGAAACTATATCTTATTTTCAAGCCCTCATAAGACATTTACAAAATCCAGTAGTACAATAGGCCACAAAAATAAAATGATTTACCAATAAATGGAAATAGAATCAGTCCCGTTGTCTGACTTTAGTACACCCAAACTGATAATGAATAATAAAAATAGAACAAAAATTAGAAAAGAGTCTCCTAAATGCCTCCTGAGTCAAAGAGGAAACCAAAGAGTAACTGCATATTTAGAACACAAGGAAAACATCACATATAAAAATGTATGACCTTGAAAGCACGCTAAAAGATAGATGCCAGATATTGGCCACATATTGTATGATTCCACATACGTGAAATGTCCAGAATAGGCAAATCCACAGAGGCAGGAAGCAGATTTTGGTGGCCAAGGGTTGGGGAGGGGGAATGGGGAGTGGCTGTTTAATGGATGTGGGGTTTCCTCTTGAGGTGATGAGAATGTTCTGGAACTAGGTAGCGGCGATGATTGTTCAACCTTGAAAAGGTAGCAAATGCTATTGAATTGTATGTTAGAATGGTTTAAATGATACATTTTATGTTAATGTATATTTAACCACAGTAAAAATCAAGGAAAGATAATCTGCACAAACAGGGGTTTATGTTTCAATTAGTGGTAGACTGGTTAATGCTGACCAAACTGAGGACAGTTAGAAAATTGGGACAGAGTATGAAAAACATCTGATTGGAGGACTGAAGATCTAACAAGGTCATGAAAAATTATAGGGACAGAAAAAGGAAACCCAGAGAGATAAGCTCAGTATTTAGTGTTGCCTTTCAGACGAGTCCGTAAGAGGCAGTGGAGAGGCTGAAATGCCGAGCAGAATATGTGACAGCCTCTTGGGACTAGAGATAAGGACTGGAGTCTATTCTGACACCAGCTGGTACACTGCACTGAAATTCTGATGGTGACCACCTGGAGCTGGCATCAGACTCCACCGGTTTAAGGGCACAGTCAGTTCCCAGCAAGGCTGTTCTGACTTCAGACATCAGCCACACTCTGGGGGTCCCGAGGTCACCTCACTTCCTACCAACTGGCTACAAATTTGAGGGTTCCCAGGACTCCCTCAGTTCAGTATTTCACCTAAATGACTCACAGAACTCAGGAAAGCACTAATGATTGCAGTTTTATTATAAAAGAGCAGTCAAATGAAGAAACACACAGCGCAAGGTTTGGGAAGCTCCCAAACACAGGGTTTCTGTGCCCTGTCCTCATGGAATCAGGGCATATCGCTCTCCTTGCATGTCAGGGTGTCACCAGTCGGGAAGCTCCACAAAAGTTGTAGTGTCTCAAGGTTTTGATGGGTTTCATTACACAGGCACACTTGACTGAATCACTGACCACAGGACTAAACTCAGTGTTCAGGCCCCACACTCTACCTGCAGGTTGGGAGGTCAAGCTGCTATAACACTGCTCAGATCAGCAACGTCCTGAAGCTACCTACCGGCTGAGCATGAGGTGCATCGTTCGTGTAAATTCAGGTGTGATCCAAGGGCTCACAGATAAGACACTGATCACTCGGGAAATCCAAGAGCTTTAGAAACGGTTCCAAGAACCTAAGACAAAGACCAGACAAATTGTTTCTTTTTTATTTTTTCTACTTTTTTTTATTAAGGTATCAGTGACATACACTCTTATGAAGGTTTCACAAGAAAAACATGTGGTTACTACATTCACCCATATTATCAAGTCCCCCCCATACCCCATTGCAGTCACTGTCCATCAGCGTAGTCAAATGCCACAGAGCCACTACTTGTCTTCTCTGTGCAACACCGTCTTCTCCGTGACCTCCGCACAACATGTGAACTAATCATAATACCCCTTAATCCCCTTCTCCCTCCCTCCCCACCCCTCCCCTTTGTTAACTACTAGTCCCTTCTTGGAGTCTGTGAGTCTGCTGCTATTTTGTTCCTTCGGTTTTGCTTTGTTCTTATACTCCACAGATGAGTGAAATCATTTGGTACTTGTTTTTCTCTGCCTGGCTTATTTCACTGAGCATAATGTCCTCCAGCTCCATCCGTGTTGCAAATGGTAGGATCTGTTTCTTTCTTATGGATGAATAGCATTCCATTGTGTATATGTACCACCTCTTCTTTATCCCTTCATCTACTGATGGACACTTAGGTTGCTTCCATATCTTGGCTACTGTAAATTGTGCTGCGATAAACATAGGGATGCATATGTCTTTTTGAATCTGAGATCTTGCTTTCTTTGGGTAAATTCCTAGGAGTGGAATTCCTGGGTCAAATGGTATTTCTCTTTTGAGTTTTTTGAGGAACCTTCATATTGCTTTCCACAATGGTTGAACTAGTTTACATTCCCACCAGCAGTGTAGGAGGGTTCCCCTTTCTCTGCATCCTTGCCAGCATTGGTGGTCCCTAGTCTTTTCTATGTTGGCCATCCTAATTGGTGTGAGGTGATATCTCATTGTGGTTTTGATTTGTATTTCCCTGATAATTAGGGTTGTGGAGCATTTTTTCATGTGCCTGTGGCCATCTGAATTTCTTCTTTGGAGAATTGTCTGTTCATATCCTCTGCCCATTTTTTAATCAGGTCATTTGCACAAATTGTTTCTTATAAACACAGGCTATTCCCTGTCTTTGGCCATGGTTCCTTTATAACAAAATGATACACCCTGTCTGCACATCTACATTTGGAATAACATGTATATAACATATACAGCAATAGTCCAAAAGAATATGCCTAACATTTAGAGGAGCCCATGAAGGAGGTTTTTAACTCAATTTTCCCAAAATTGGGCCATCAATATCAGTACTATAATCTTGGAACAATGCCAATGTTATATTATTACCACACTCTGGCAGATATAACCTGAAAAACAGAAGTAAAGACACAGTACATATTACTCTAGTTGGTTATCATATCATATGACCAAAATGTGTCCTAGGCCAATGTCACTCAGATATGCAGGTTTCTATTCCATCCTGACAGGTTCTGAAACCAGGAGTGGTCTCAGCCATATATGGCTGAACCCTTCAGATAGCTGGCATAATTGAGCTAAAAGACAATATCATCTCTTGCTCTGAGCCTCTTTCAAGGTGCTAATGTAATAGTTATTGCAGCACTCATTCATTCATTCCTTTACCCTCAGCTACTATTCTTTCTCTCCACTTAAACCTAAACTTCTCCAAAGGTATACTCGATACAGGGATCCCTAATTCCAAAGGGACGATAGGTACAACCACTGTGCTGGTCTAGATCACAGTCATCAGAACTAGTCTGGCAAGTGCCTCCCTCAGTGCACTCTCATCCGTCTAGGACAGGGTCACACGGGTACAGAACTAGTGGGCTTTTTCTACCACCAGGCAGTAGAGCTGCATTCACTGGGACCCCCAATTCTGCCCATGGGATCAGGGCACGGCCTGCTCTATCAGGCCCTTAGGAATTCTGGCATAAAGGTCTCAAACTACAGTTACAGTTTCCCCCTTAGGAATCATCCCTTCTCTGGTACTTGTAGTTGCAGCCCTGTTCCTATGACCACCACCTCAGGTAGAAAAAGAAATCTAGGTGCTGTGGGAAGGAAAAACAAGTACAGTGACCTCACTATCTTCTCCCCATAGAAAGAACTGTAAAGTCAGGCTGCATCCTCCCACCCCCAAATCCACCAAAAAAGCAGAGGAATCTCTCCGGTGGGGACACTGCCTTGGCACCCCTTGCGTACGAGCACACACTCATGGAGATACCTAAGCCAGTGCTATATCCCCTCATATTTCAGACGAGTACTGTAACTGCCCATTCCAATTCTCTATCAAACTAGTACCCTGAGGGAGAGCTCTCTCTGCCCATTGTTAGACATTATGGGCTATGAAGCATGTACCTTGGTTTGAAGAAATGTGACTCAAAGGTCCAAATTGGTACCATATCTTCAGTGCCAGTTACATTATAGTAGCCAAGCGTTTGCATCTCCCACTCCCATGCAAAGCCCAGTCCAGAGTGTTTGGTCTCATTGGGACCCGTTGTAGCCCCCCAGGGCTGCCAGCATCTGTCCCACTTGCCAGCTGTTCAGGGCATTCTCCCCAGAGAGCTTCTCCATAGCCTCTTGTCAGCAGAAAGAAGAGTTCTTATTGGCATTTTGTGTCTCAGAGGGTACAAAAGGAATATGTCTAAATTCAGCCCATCTCTGAATATAACAAAATGACAGGAACTGAGCAAGTATTTCACGATAAATCATTTTCCAGTGGCCACTAAGCACAGAAAAGGCACTCCATTAGTCATGAAGGAACTACAGATTAAAATCATAAGACATTCCACACTACCTCTAGAATTGGCTAAAAAAAAAAAAAGAAAAAGAATCAGTTATCTTTGCCAAGTGTCGGCAAAGATGTAGAGCAAATAGAACTCTCATTAGCCACTGGTAAGAGTGTAAATTAAGTCTATAGGAAAACTGTTTGTCAGTATCTAATAAATCTGAAAATAAGGATACTTAATAAACCCAGCAATTCTTGGGTATATATCCAACAGAAATGTTAAATGTTGACCTAACAGACATTGAATGTTCATAGGAGCATTATTCATAATAACCTCGAATTGGTCACTAGCCAAAGGCCTATTCACAGTAGCATGGATTAACAAAATACGGTATATTCACACAAAGAAAATCTATACAGCAATGAAAATTAACAAATATGCAACAATATTGTTATGGACAAAATTGTGTCCCCTTCCCTCAAATTCACAGGTTGAGCCCCTGACCCTCAGTGTGACTCTATTTGGAGATACGGCCTTTAAGGGGTAATTAAGGTTAAATGAGGTCATAAGAATAGGGCCCTAATCCAATAAAACTGGTGTCCTTACAAGAAGAGAAAGAGACACCAGGGATGTCCATGAAGAAAGAAAAGGCCATGTGAGGACACAGCAAGAAAACCTCCCACTGCAAGTTGAGGAGAGAGGCTCCAGAGAAATCAAACCAGCCACACCTTGCTCCTGGACTGCCAGCCTCCAGAACTGTGATGACAGGCCATTTCTGTGGTTTGAGCCACCCAGCCTGTACTATTTTGTTATGGCAGCAAGCTAGATCAGTATGGGTATACCACATTTTGTTTTGCATTTATCAGTTGGTGACATGTGGAATGTTTCTACTTTTTGGCTATTATGCATAATGCTGCTATGAACATTCATGGACAGGTTTTTGCATGCACATATGTTTCCATTTCTCTTGGGTATATTTATAAGTAGAAAGCTGGGTCATATGGTAACTCTATGTCTCAACAAATTAAGTTTAAAAAGTATGAAGGAATCCATCAAGATAAGAGCAGACATTAATGCCACCAAAACAAATATAAATACAAAGGATGATTGAAGTCAGAAGACTGTTCTGTGAAAACATGAATAAGATGTAAAAGCCCTTAGGAAGATTGATAAAAAAAGAGAGAAACAATAAATTGCCAATATTAGGAACAAAAAAAGGACATTGCTACAGATATTGTAGACATTATAAAGATAATAAGATTATAAATAACCTGATGTCTTCAAATAAACTGAAAATTTCAGAGAGTAGAATAAGTTCCTGGAAAACTACAGCCTACAAAAACCAACCAAAGAAGAAATAGAGAACTTAAATAGTACTGTATCTATTATAGAGATTGAATTAATGATTTAAATCTTCCAACAAAGAAAATTCTGGTCCAAGATGGCTTCACTGCAAATTCTAATAAATACTTAAGAAAGGAAAATGCTGCAATTACATATATTCTTCCAGAGGAAAAAAAAGGAAACAAACTCAAATTATGAGGCCAGCATAACCTTGTTACTAAAGTCTAACAACGATATTAGAAGAAAGCAAAGTACAAGCCCGTCTCACGAATGCATACAGATGCAAAAAAGTCTAAACAAAACAGCAAAAGTATTGTTATTAGTTGTTACAAGTTGTTATTAATTCAACAATATATACAAAAGAGAATACGTCCTAGAAGTTTATGTTATTCCAAGAATGTAGTGTTTGTATACATTTGAAATTAATCATTGAAACTTACCATGTGAATAGAATAAAGGAGAAGAATCATACAGTCATATGATAGATTTTCAATTTTAAGAATAAAATTCAACATCCACTGATGGTCATCCACCATCACCCAGGCTCTTGGGTACATCCCTGAATCTAATCCAATTTCTCACTCTTCCTGCTTCCCCCATTCTTCCCCTGTGATCCTAGAACTCACGGCCTGCGCTCAGCAATGTGCCCTGAACCCCCACACTCTCCTCCGCTCATTCACTCCTCCCCACTTTCGCTGCGGTCGGGCTCTGCCTGAGCACACGGCTTTTCCTGCAGCCCTCTCACACAGCAGCTGGCATTTCTCCCATCACGCCCCAGGCCTGGAGGCCGGGTAGGAGTCCTCCTTGGTCTCCTTTGCCTTTTCTAGACTAACTGCCCTTCCTTTTCTCTACAAAACCTCTGTGCCCCTGAAGCTTGTGCCTTCAGCCTACATCTGCCATTGTTCTTGTTGAAACCTTCCGGGAGCTTCCTGGCTCCTCTCCCTCACCTGCTGAAGATGTTAGAGCTCGGCTCTCAGCCTCTCCACCATTAATACCTCACCGTCTTTAGGACTTCAATCAACATCCATCAGAGACTCATACAACACCCTAGCTTTACAGAGTCTGTGTGACTTGCCTATTATTGTGTAACAAATTACTGCAAAACGTAAAACAATAAGCATTTATTATCTCACAGTTTCTGTGGGTCAGGAATTTAGGAGCACCTTAGACCAGCGGTTCTGGCTCAGGGGCTCTGCGGCTGCTGCACTCGGTGGGCCTGCTCTGCTGCCGTCATCCAAAGGCTTGCCTGGGGCAGGAGCAGGGCGGTTCACAGACATGCCAGGCAAGTTATCACTGTTTGGTCCTCACCACATGGGCCCCCGAGTGTCCTCACGATGTGGTGGCTGGCTTCCCCTAAGAGGGGACAAGGCAGAAGCCTCGATGTCTTGTATAACCTAGCCTCAGAAGTCGTACACAGGCATTTGCCACACAGGTCAGCCCTGCTGCATGTGGAGAGACCACAAGGGGTGTGGATACCACCAGGTAAGAACCCCTGGAGGCCCAGTTCCTGACTTCTTTACTTCCAGCTATCTTGCCCTCCACGTGACGTCCCACTCTCACCGCTATGGTCACGCCCTGCTGTCATCAAGGTTGCTTTCACTGATTTCAAAAACCACTGTTTCCAGCACCCCACTCTTTGGCCATCCCTGCTCATGTGTTTGGAACTCAAATAATTCTTCAACCCCAAAGAGACTCCCCCGTTCTCTCACTACCCATCATTTGACTCACGTCTCCCACTTTTTCCTTTCAGTTCCGTCACTCTAACCACTCCTTGCCCCTCTCTTCTTCATCACATTGGCCTGAAAAACGGGAAATGCTAATTCCCTGTACTCACGCCCACACCTAAGCAGCTTGATGTGGCTGGAGGAAAACACAACTGTGCCCATTCATCTCCCTTTAAATTTGTGACCACAAACCTCAAGTGGGCCATTGACACTAATCCTCATAAATTCATATCCTGCTTTCAGACATGAATTTCCTCTCCTCTCATCTTCTAGGAAACCTCCCATACCCATCCCCCTCCACTCTTAGCTTCTCAGCTAATAACCTCACTCATTTCCTTTAGATAAAAGCAGCAATCAGGGGCACTACCTCACCTTCCCACCACCAAACATCCTACCTGTCTTTGTACCCACGGCCTCCCTCCACATTGCAAAGGATGGGCCATCTCATCACTAGAGCCCTGAATCCCCTTCTCTCTCCCAGAAAATGGGATCTGTAGCTGAGTGACATCAGCTCATCCTTAACAGATGCTTTCATTGGGAGGAGTGATACAAAATCGGGGAAGGCCGCCGTGGCAGGCACATGCACGCCAAGGTCAGTCAGCCAGAAGAAAGAGAAGACCAGAGCAGGCAGAGAGAGAAGCAGAAAGGACCGGAAGTGAGCCCTGGCGAGAAAAGGGAGTTGGCTGAGTTCTGGGCATCGCTTGCTACTCCTAGGTCTTCAAAAAGGCAGACTCCTCACAAGATCCTGCTTACATATGTTTGAGTGGATCTTTGTTTTTCACAACTGGAAAGTTCTCTCAGTTATTCTGTTTGGATGTAGAAAGATATCTGGAAGGGTGTTCCAATAAAAGTTAAAAGTAGGTGTCTCACCTGAGGGTTTCAGCCCAGGGCAGGTTTGCTATGGATTCGGTAAGACCAAGGAATGACAACGGAATGTTCTTGGGATAAAAGGGTTTATACCTGGCTTTCTTCTCAGTGGCAGGTCAGGCGCTAGGATCACGTCTGCATCTAGCAGTCTCCCAGTCAGTAATCCACCTCCGTCTCTGCCTCTGCCCAGAGCACTGGGCAGAGCTCTTTATACAGTGACTCAGTCAGTAATCGCTCATTACCCACGGGTGTGGAAGCAGCAGCCTAGCAGCAGGCCAGTTACTTCATCAAGTAGTTTAGGGTCAGGTGAGGATCCCGGCCATAGGCACTCTATTTTCCCCATAGTAGTTCTCTCTGGAAAGTTGTTCAGAGGGTTTTAAATTGTTTCTTCTTTTCACTTTCCTAAATTGCTTGAGCCATTTAAAATGAGCATATACCAGCTTCCTTCCGCCTCTTCCCGACCCAATCCATCAACATCTCCTCTCAGTCTCAAACGGTTCAGATGGCTCCAGCTCTCTCTGGACGCCCACTGCCAGCACTCCGGCCGCATCTCCATTCTCCCTCTCTCACCTGGCTTACTGCAGCAGCCTCTCCACTGGCCCCTCTGTTTCTCCCTTGAAAACCTGCTCGCCCAGAGCAACCAGCTGGGTCTTGTTACCATATCAACCTAGCCACGCTACTTCCTTGTTGAAAACCCTTCAATGGCTTCCCTCTGCCCCTGAAATAAAACTCAAGCCTCAGTTTCTCATCTGAAGTAAGGTGTTGGAAATATCAAATACAATACTGTGTGAACAGCCCAGTATGGAGCCTGGCCCATAACAGGTGCACAGGATGGGTGCTCTTGTCCCTGCCTCCCCAGGTTGCACAGCCACTTTCAGGATTCTTTTAAGTTAGAAAGTTCTCAGAAACTGGTCCACATCTACACTTCAACTTCATCTGCAGCCATTTCCTATTGTTCCCTGAGCTCCTCCTTGGGTCACCCAGTAAGTAAGTGTCTGGGATTTGAACACAAGACCCAGGCAGCCAACCCTTAACTACAAGATAGTGTCAGGTGTAGACCAACTGGCCGGGACAGGTTTATGCAGTCAGAATCAGAGACAACAATCTATATGTTCAACATTAGGGGCTGTTTAAACAGGGGCTAGGAGAGAATCTTACATAGCCATTGAAATGAGGATATATATCTATATTTATACCACTGAAAATAAGCAAGCTAGGAAACAGTACAGCCTTATTCATAACTGCCAAAAACTGGAGGCAATCAAGATGTCCTTCCAAAGGTGAATGGATAAACAAACTGTGGTACATTCATACAGTGGAATACCATTCAGCAATAAAAAGAAATGAGCTATTAATGCATGAAAAGACATGAAGGAACTTGAAAGAAGCCAGCCTGAAAAGGGTACTTTCTATACATTAGTGTGACTTCCACACTGACTGTATGTCTCCAACTATATTCTGGAAAAGACAAAAACGAGAGAGGCAGTAAAAAGATGAGTGGTTGCACCAGTCCCAGAGGGAGGGATGAATAATAGGTGAAGCATGGGATTTTGGGGCATTAAAACTGTTCTGTTCTGTATGATACTGTCATGGTGGGTACATGACGTTATGCATTTATCAAAACTTTGAGCTTTACAGAGCTAAGAGTGAACCATAATTAAGCTATGATCTTTAGTTAATCATGTTAATATCCATCCATCAGTTTTAACAAAGGCACCGCACGAAGGCCAGATGCTAGTAATAGGGAAATCTGTGAGGGTGGGGACGAGGGTATGTGGGAACTCCGCACTATCTCCTTAATTTTCTGCAAACCTGAAACTAAAAAAATCTGTTAACTTAAAAACAGCGTAATAGCATGATCCCTTTCACGTCAATATATATTTACGTGTCTTTGTGCACAGCAGAGTCTTCAAGGACATAACCAAAATTAACAGCTGTCTCAAGAGTGGTAGCATTGGTGGAGACCTTTCTCCTGCTTCTTCTTGTCCATATTTTCTTAACAAAAGCGTGCGTTAATTTCTTAAAAAGGGGTACAGTCAGGCCGTGGGATCGCCCGGGCCAGGGCCGGCGCGGGAGCTGGAAGGCCGCTTTCACTGGAGCTTGCTGGGCAAACGCCACCCGCCGCGTCCTTTAGCCTATTCAGTTTTGAGGCCGGGAGGTTAGAAAAGAGAATTCCTCCGGTGCAACTGCGTCTGCACACCCGGCTGGCGCGGGAGCTGGGGACCGGGAGGGGCTCCGGGGGCTTGGCTCGGGGCGCAGACGTCCAGGGCAGCTCTGGGGGCGCGGCCGCCCGCCTGCAGTGGGCTGGAATGTTCCCGGGTGGCCAGCGAGTGTACTTTGTTCCCGGGGTGGGGGAGGGTGGAGCGGGGCAGGGCTCCAGGCCTCCAGGGCCCCTGGGACTTGGAAGGAGGCCAGCTTTCCATTCTCAGGGTGCCTTCCGGCCAGGAGAGTGGGAGCAGGGGCGGGTATCTGGTTCTCAGGCTGGGCAGCCGCGGGGCACCCGACAGAACCCCTGGATTCCAGCACCAGACAAGCTGCAGGTCCCTGAGGTCAGGTCTCGTAACACGTCTGGGCCTCAATTCCCTTGCTACAAAATGGGGTTTATAGTCATGGCACATAGTTATTGCCAGGCACTGTTGTAAAGCGCTCTACAAATGCCCATTCCTCATAACTACCCTTTGAGGTAGGTGCTGTTAATATAAAAACATAATTATCCTATTAGTAGAATAATATTCCCTCACTGGTCCAGGTCCTTTGGACTGTGCAGATGATCTGGCTCAGCCTCCTGCCAGGCAGTGAAACGTGCACTAGTATTATTTTTGTTTTAAAGATGAGGAAAGGGAAGCACAGGAGGGTTAAGTAACTTGCCCTAGGGCACACAGCTCCTAAGTGGCCATCCTGGATGCAAACCCAGGCAGTCAGGCCGAGAACTTCCACCCTTAACCTCTACAGATACTGCCTCCCCACTGCCAGTTTCAAGAGGCCCTTAAAATCTGTTTATTTGGACTTACTGCAATTCATGCAACAATTCTGAGGAAGCACTAATAATAATTAATGCTAATAAATAATAACTAATAAAAACTAAGTAATGATAGTTATCACCAATTGAGAGCTGTAATTCCCACAACACCCTACGAGGTCAGTGCTACTATTATTATTTCCATTTTAAGGGTGAGGGAATCCAGGCACTGAGAGGTCACTCACGTTCGAGGAGGTGGAACTCAATTCATCCGGAAGCCAGAGCCCAGCAAGGGCTGGCTGTTGTCTCCTGTTGTAGTATTTTATAGGGAGACAGACTCCTCCAGAACTGATGATAGAGGCTAGCCTGGGAGCACTTCCTTTTCCCAATGTTGTCACGGGCCACTTTGCCTGGTAATCCGAGGAGTTTTGGAGAGTGGCAGGAGCCTCAGATGATACCTGACACCAGCTGGGGAGCTGCTGCTCCCTCCGGGGTGTGCTGCTTCCCCGAGCCCAGCTGCCTGGTGTCCATGGAAGCATCTCCACCCAGAATTTCAACAGACGGCAGGTCAGTTCTGTGAAACTGATTTGTTTGAAGTTTGGTATTTAATATTTTTAGCCAAATAAATTCACAGCATTTTTGATAAATAACATTTAGTACTTGTTAAAAGGGTTCAATATGTGAGCTATTTTATTTCTTAACAGCTATATTTTCTCACTAAATGAAACAGCAAATTCTATGCTTTGACTGTGTTCTTGCTGTAATCTGTATCCTTGTTTTTCTCTTTATTGTTAACAGAACTTTTTTTTTTTTTAGTTTGTTGAAGTGGCCTAAGTGAGAAAGAGAATGAGCCCCATTCCCAGGAGGTGAGTAAAGCCTGCTGGCTTCCTTTGCTAGTCACCCCACCTCACCCTAGCCCTCGAGATTATGGGGAACACACAGCTGGGGGTGGCCCTTCATTTTATAGCATCACAAATGACTGCAGCAAATGGATTTGTCCCTCCTGTCTTCCTGCATTTTCCAGGGTCGGCTGTGTTGTGGACTGTCACCACATCTGACTCAGGTACAGTGGCTGGGAAGGGGGGGTTGGGGAGCTGCTTGAAAAAGACTAGTGAATGTATAATTTTTATTATCTGGGAAAATCTAGGAATGTTCACAAAGGAACATATATTTTTTTATTTGAATATGAAATTTCATGATGATACTGTATGTGTGTGATGTTCTTGGTACCTGTCATCTGTTAAAATTGTGGTAACAGGTGCCATTCTGAGTGGCTTGATTCCTAGAAAAATACATCAGAATGCATCCTGCATAACTCTACAAAAAATAACAGCAGGGTCCTCATGAGCTATGTGAGAGATGGATGGCTGTACAGAAGACTGAATGGGTAGATGACAGATGAATTCATCTGTGAATAAGCAGGTAAATGAATACATGTAAACAAACAGCCAGAGAGCTGCAGGAATGGATAGATGAGGGAATGGGAGACGACTTCATCTCCTGGGCTCCAAAGGTCATTAGCCCCACCACAGCACTGACCACATAACTTCAGAGGTATTTATTCCCTGTAAGGCTTCCCCAGAAGGAGACTTTGAGCTCCCAGAAGGCAAGAAGTTAATTTTATCATTTTTTTGTATACTGTTCCCCTTGTGCAGTGTCTGGCACATTCATGAAGGTATTAGGTAGGATGTAGATTTAGCTGCTGTTACATGAAGCATCTCATTTGCATGAGGGAGCGTCACCAAGTCTGTAGCTAGCCAGGAAGGGAAAAAGGACATGTGTTTGCTTCAGAGGCAGGGCCTGGAAGTGTACATACCACTTGGGCTGTCATCCCATAGGCCTGAACTGAAGTCTACAGCACACCTTACTGAAAGGATGCCTGGAAATTTCACCTTAATCTGAGGGGCCTCGTGTCCATCTAAAAATCAGTGGTTCTAAAAACTGCAGAAACAGATATTGGAAGGCAGTCTCTGCCCCTAAGTGAGCAACACATTTTTATTTGTTAGATGAATAAAAATAAATAAATGAATCTGAAATTGCAAGTCTGTATTCTGAGAAGGAAAAACATGCTGAATCACAGAGATAAGTGAAAGAAGCAAGTGGGATTGATGGAAACAGTATGCAATTATTTGTGGCTCTTCTTTACTAGGAGACATTTGTTGAGAGTGACAGTGGGCCCAGATAAAATCTTCCACTTCCCAGGCTCCTTCCAAGTGGCCATGTGACGCCACTCTGGCCAGAGATATAAATAGAAGACAGAGGAAGGCCCCAGGGAGGGTTTTTGCTTTAATAGGACATCACTTTTCCCTTTTCCTTCCTCCTCCTTGACTTCTGAAATGCAAATGTGTGAGTGGAGGTGAAGCAGTCAACATGTGCTTTTGAGATGATGAGCAAGAAAGCAAAAACCACACATGAAGTCGGACAGAGCAGAAGGTGGCAGGTAGCCTGGACTTTGATGGCAGCGTGACCTTGACTGTGATGGCAGTGTGACCTTGACTGCCTTCCTGCCTCCAGACTTCTCATTAATAAGAAATGAAAACTCCTACTCGGTTGAGCCAGGATAGTGGCCTTTCTGTTTTAAGCACCCTGGTATATATCTGTACCTTGAAAATTCACTGACTGCATAGGATATCTCTGGGAGGACACACAAGAAACTAGCCAGGGCTGCTTCTCCTGGAAGAGGTCATGAGTGATCAGAGGACAGGGATGAGCAAGAGACACACTTTTCATTTATAGTCTTATATTTCTGAACATTGAATTGTTGGCATTTATCTATTCAACAAAGTGTTGAAATGACATCTGACATTAAGCACTCAAAAAACGCTGGTTCATTCATGAGTTTAATGGCTCAGGGAATAGTGTCCAGCAGTCATCACTGCAACACCTTATGTTATCATCAGAGGCAAAGTTGCCAAAGAAATTAATCACCAGTGGTGGTTCAGAACTGAATTGTGGAAAATATTTATTCATTATAAATATATTAGCATATGTATCCTATTCTTTAATAAATGTTTTTTGGGGAGTTGGAGTTTTTGGGGAGTGTTGTTTTGTTTTACTTAAAGAGACCTAATTGTCTCAGCTTTAATTCTCTCTAATGTTTTCTGTCTTAAGCTAAGGGAGAGGATATTTTTTCTTTGTCTTAAATTCACACTATTGCTTTGCCTGGAAAATTTCCTCATTTGAAATTAATTAATTAATTAACTGACAAACTGATCTTGAAAACTCAGAGGGCATTCAGATATAATAAAGCACTCTCACTCCCTTGGTTTACAGTGTGCTTTCTTGAGAAGCAGAGACGCAGCTGGTATAGTGAGCTGCCCGAAAGGGCACATACCACCCAATTTATCTCGGCCTCCGCTAGTAATGATTACCCCTGACAGTGGTACCACAAATAGCTGTGGGGTTTATCTATAATCTTGGTGCCTCTGAGTTGTGTTTCTCATACTTAACTTTCATTTTTTCCTTAATTTTACCCATAGACAAATTCTTACTAGGGAAGACGCAGGGGAGATGAATGAAGGGCGAAGACTGCAGCCACATGTAGAGGCACAGGAAAGAGCGTGACCTGAGGGGCATTTCTACCAGGAACCACCTGTCAAGGATGACTCCCAAACCCGAACCAACTAATGCCGCAAGCGCAGTTTGTCATGATCTTAAGTCACTTCAGCACGCATGGGTGACTTCTGTTATAATTTTAAATAGTAAAGTAAGATTAACTCGTTTATTCTGCAAGTGCATACTTGTTCCTTTCCTTATATTACCTATGTTGTGAAGACGTGGGAAAAATAAATTTTGTTAAAAGATAAATTTTAATTTAAATAAAGCTTCATATTTTAAAAACTAAGTTGCTTCTATTTCTATCCTTTTCCTTATAAAGTGACAAGGTTTTAAAAAGTTTTTTAAAGAGCTGATTTTACTATCCATATGTTTATGAAATGCTTTTATACATACCATGCCAAAAAATGTATGAGGGGTTATTTATTTTACTTCTCTACAAAATGTAGTATTCCTCAAAAAAGACTTACGTCCAGGAAAATGTGCCTTGTACATGAATATCATTCACCCTGTATGTCATTGGGATAAAAAAAAGCTGAGAAAAGTCACATTATCAATGCTAATAAAACTAACAATAAGATCAGCTGCAATTCAAAAGGATCTCTGAAGATCAAAAGTGGACTTCTGAACTAGGGGGGATCTCACCCAACTTCAAGCTCTACTATAAACCCATAGTAATCAAGACAATTTGGTACTGGCACAAGAACAGAGCCACAGACCAATGGAACAGACTAGAGAATCCAGACATTAACCCAGACATATATGGTCAATTAATATACGATAAAGGAGCCACGGATATACAATGGGGAAATGACAGCCTCTTCAAAAGCTGGTGTTGGCAAAACTGGACAGCTGCATATAAGAGAATGAAACTGGATCACTGTCTAACCCCATACACAAAAGTAAATTCGAAATGGATCAAAGACCTGAATGTAAGTCATGAAACCATAAAACTCTTAGAGAAAAACATAGGCAAAAATCTGACCTATTTTGATGAATATTCTGTATGGGCTTGAGAAGTGTATTCTGCAGTGGTTGGATGAAATAGTCCATAGATGCCAATTATATCCACTTATTGGGTCGTGTTTTTTTGATCCACCTTTGACAATCTGTCCTTTGCTTCACATATTTAGATTATTGGCCTTTAAAATGATTATTGATATACTGGCTTAGTATCTACCATACTGTTTTCTGTATGTTACCCCTGTTCTTTTTTCCTGTTTTAGTCTTTCACTCTTCCCCTTTTGGGGTGTTAAATGAGCATTTTATATGTCTTCATTTTCTCTCTTTGCTTAGCGTATCAGTTTGGCTTTTTTTACATTTTTTTTTTATATTACCTTATAATAACCAAGTTTTCTTAATTCCTCTCCCCCATGCTTGTGTCACTGCTGTCATTCATTTCACTTCTAACAAGGTATGATCACTGAATACATTGCTGCTATTATTATTTTGAATAAACTGCTGCACGTCACATCAAGAATAAGAAAAATAAATAAAAGTTTTCACCTTACCTTCACTTACTCCTTCTCCAGGGCTCTTCCTTTCTTTATGCAGCTCCAAATTGCAGACCTAATAATTCTAGAACTACTTTTAACATTTCTTGCAAGCAGGTTTACTGGCAACAAATCCCCTCAACTTTGGTTTGTCTGAGAAAGTATTTGTTTCACTTTTGAAGGATAATTTCTCAGGATACAAAATTCTAAATTAGTGGGAGTTTTTCTCTCAACACTTGAAATATTTCACTCCACT